CACACACACACACACACACACACACACACACACACACACACACACACACACACTGTGACATCTGTGCAAACCTGTCTGACTCTTAACTCCAACCTGTGTGTGAATATGTCAAGTCGAAGCTGCTTGTCGTGTAGTGCATGGCTGTTTACAGGACAGTATCCAGTGTCGGCCCGAACTACTTTGAATTTCCTAACAGGCGAATTTTAAATGACATTTTGCCTATCGTGTCCTGTCCACCCCCACCCCCTCCCCCACTTTGAGTCCAGATTTCACAGCCCCGTTAACGTGACATAAAAGGTAACCTTGCGGTCTCTGGTTCAATTAATATCCTGTTTTCAACGCAAGCCAAGTAATGAAAGGAGCAGCCAGAACAGATTTGCTGATCGCAGACTTGCTTTCGTGGAAGTTTGACTGTGAAGCCAAGAAATGGTTTGATGAAACGAGGGGGAAACAAAAAAGGGTTGAAAATAAAAACTTTACCTGTTTATTACTTTGTTTTTATCCTTCTTATTTTTGCTGTTTGTATAGCGTTTGGGTAATGGTGTCGTGTCCCATTTGATAGATGTGGCTTTAATCATTGTAATTAAAAAAAAAAGCTTTGTAAATTGCTTACAGTAGCAATATATTATAACACCTCCTGGTTCCAATTTCAACTTGGGCGGACTTTTTAATAATTTGAACTGTTGAGTCTGTTGCCACTGCTTAAACATTTGTTGGGTAATCATGTTTCATTTGGAAGGACAAAATGTTTTTTTTTTTTTTGGTAAATGTGTGTGTGTTTGTGTGTGTGTGGTGCGTGAGAGAGATGTGTGTTGCAAGGGATGTGGGGTGGGGGTGGGGGTCGCTCTGGATTGTTACCTGTCTGTGTCCTATCCACGTTGCCTTCTGCCAGGTCCTTACCAATGCCTTTGTGGTTCTACCTATTGTACTACTTTCTTGTGAATTTTATTTTTTATGTGCAATTCTCATCAGCCTCACCATGCCAATAAAGGGAAATGTGTTTGAAAAAGAAAACTGTCTTATCCTTTAGTGGTGTATATTATATATTTCCTATCTTCATAATGAAAGGTGTTTTTATTCATCGTCGCAGTACAGGTTTTACTGAGGCCCTCTTCAGACGAGCGTGGATATTTTACAATGCTGTTTGCACCAACCCAATCAGATTTGTCACAACTAAAACTACACATTAAAAACACTTTTTAAAGTGGTGATTTTTAAAACTTCCTTTATGAYTAGATAATCACCCTAAAAAGAAAAAAATTGTATAGGTCTTCTGGACGGGTTCTTCTCTAATGAAACGTTTCGTCTCTTCTCCAAGAGACTTCTTCAGTCTGAGAGTTTCAGGCAAAATTCAGGCTTTTAAGCCCTGCCTCCATGTGACTGATACTCACATATAATCACCCTAAAATTTTAAACAAAAGAGCTGATTTTTTTACCTTTTTTTAAAATGTGATGTAGAAATTTGTCGTGTAGATTACGAGTGACATCTGCCCAGCAATGAGCCAGTTTTTTTTATTCAATATGAAATAGATTTGAAATCAATTGTAAACTTTTAATTTATGCAAGAAAACAAACAAAATTTAAAGRTGGATGATACTTGTCCGGCCTCTGAACTGTTGGCTTTGAGTTACTGTGGCCYCATGAGCAGTTCAGTTGAATAGTATTAATGTATTAATGTCTCAAAATAAGCTGCTTTACATCTCCCATAATGCATGTCGACTATTTTACCCRTGAAATGACAGAATCCCACYTCTRTGCAGAGGTGCACRGGGTTCAAAATTAGCTGTAAACCAGCAAAAATGACAGCATAAAAATCTACATTTAGCTTCATTTTTGTCTGCTAATTTTCCTACAGCCCAGTTGTACTGGGAAGTGGGAATTTCCCACCTATAAGTCATAAATTAAAACTGGAACACCCCTTTCCAGTTAGAAAAATGAGAAGGTTCAGAATTCAAGAAAACAGCTACTCACCACAACTTAACAGTGAGTACTTKTCATAAAAGAACATATTAAAACACTGTTTCTATGCAGGACATACCRTGTAGAGCTCAGTTATTGTTTGTTAGAGCCGCTCGGTCATAGCAGTGATACGAGGAATGTGACATTATGGGTTAATTACACTAATGCTCATGTGATTCTCTGATGTATTTGTTTTCCTTTGAAACAAAGAAACATTCAGACTAGTGTTGTTTTGTTGATTTTTTTTTAGCTCCGTTAAAAGGCCTCACACATTGCTCTGTAGTCTGTAWTAGATAATCATGGGGGGAGAAGTTGTAAAAGCTACATGAAACAGCTGACAATCTCTGAACTCTTGATGGTATTATAAACAAATACTTCTGTTTACTTTGTCCCTCTTCTTTTTTGTTGGTAAACATAATGCCAGAGATCTTTTATTTATTATTATTATTATTATTATTATTATTATTATTATTGCTGATGTAGCAGATTAATTCAGCATTCAAGCTGCAGCAGCAAAAAATGAGCTACTTTCCAGATAAATTATTTAATTTCCAAGAACAAAGAGCTGAACATGGAGTACACAGTTTGTAGCCCACGTGCATACCCTTATCCCCTGCTCTGGGCTCTGCTCACCCAGCACATCCAGTTTATATGTGAAGCCCAATGCCAAAGTTATGTTT